TAGTAGTAACAATATTAACTTAAAGACTAAACAATTAAAATGTGTTAATGCCAGTTTTAAAATAAATTAAATAACCCTATGTCCTGACTTATAGGGCATCCCTGAATGAGTTTTCTTATTTATTGGAATTGCTACGTTTTTTTATATGCACACTTTAAAATAATAAATCTTTTAATATTATTATTAATATTCTTGGGTCTTTCGGTAAAGCCACGTAAATAGATCAAATAAAAAAAAATATATTCTCAGCAGCTCTCCCACGATATTTCTCATCCGATGACGATTGCTTGTGTTGCGATCGAAACGTCGTGATATTGTTATTTTTATTATTTTATCTTTTTTTTTTATTTGATCTATCTAGGTGGCTTTACTGAAAGAACAAAGAATATTAATTCCAGCAGTCACGAAAGCTTTAAGTCACGATTATTATTAACTTCGTATCTTGATATTATTTCAATGTACATAATTTCATGCTGCAAAACATATCATTTGAAATATTATTTAATGTTAAGTACATTACTCGTATTGAATGATTACTCACGCTACCGAATCTGAACTCTGCACCCCTGTGCCGACACAGCATTCAATACTTCATTCCTTCCCTTGGCTTCCTGAGCAAAACCCCTGTTAGCCCCAAAAAAGCCCTCACCTAATTTTACATTAACAATATCAATGATTTACGTTACTTCAACAAATCCTCGAAATTTTGTACGGAGTCAAAAACACACCAAATATCAATCCTCACATGCGGAATGTGATCGACACATGAAGAATCATTCACTGCCGCTGTTTACGTCGAGATCCCGCTATTTGCGGATGCCCCAATGGTGCGGAGGCTAAGATTGTGGTAAACAAGAGAAAACATCCTCGAGCATTCGAGCCGTAATCCCGCAAGCTCGGCAGGCTCCCCCCATGCGTGTAAAATAAGGAGTCCACACATCGCCCATTAATTACCGCTGGGAAATTATGAACTTCGCCACGTGCAGATGATTAGCGAGGATAATTTAATGATAAAAATAAAGAACGAAAAAAAATCCCATCATTGCACACGACGTGGCGCAGTGCACTCTGCGGTGCGAATCTGTCACAAATCAACAAACCAATACCACGGCTATGGCCTCACAATTTTCTTTTTTCAAACGTGGCATTAACGGTTACCTACGCAGCAACATCTCCGAGCTCAGAACAATTGACCAAAGTAGGGTGAATCGATTGTGTTGTTTGTTGCTGACAAAACTTGAGCTGGACGAAAATACAAAGACATCGATCCCCCTTAATAGACTGTTGGGGCAAGCACTGTTAGCGAGCACCTATGAAGGCCGGCACGGCACACGAGAGAGTGGGAGGCCAGCACCACGCCCGGCCACCTTTGTCTCCCCAGTGGCGATGTTTACACAATGCACCAGGTACCTATTTGAGGCAGAGTGGACATAAGGGAAGCCCAGGACCGGTTAAAATAATTGTCACTGATGGTGGCCGTGAACGGGAATCCAACCAGGGTTGTCGCTGAGTTCGTAGTGCTCTAACCGCTACACTACCGCTCCCCTCCATGCGAACACACACATTGATGCACACAGCACATACAGCAACAACAACAAAAGCTGCCATTTGGCAGTAAGGAGGCAGTCATATCACCATGGGATTGTTGGCAGCTAGATCCACTATGAGGCCACATGATGTGCCGAAGGCTCACTGGAACGAGGTCAAAGGACATGTCTAGATGTTTTTGACTTAACACGCAGACACAAGTCCTTAGTTTAACCCACGGATTATTGATCAAGCACTCCACCACCAGGGGTGGCCAACCTGTAGCAGACCAAGAGTCAAAAAGTATCTGTGTGAGTTCTACAAAGAGCCAAGTGTTTGTGTATATATATAAAGTGTATATATATATAAAGTGTATATATATTGACAGTTTTCGGCACAGCACGGGAGACATTCATTATTCTTTGCTACTACTGTGATGGTACGTTCTACACGATGCTTCTTCGATCGAGTAGCATGCGGTGGATTCAAGAGCCGCATGAGGCTCGGGAGATGCCAGTTGGCCACCGCTGCACTACATGTACACTGTAAGGAACGCAGCCAACACCAAGCTTGACCATCTTTGTCTTCTCAAGACAGTAAAAGTCCTCCTATTTGTTACCGGCTGCCCTTATTACCCACGCACACACACAATTAACTACTGAAGCTCCTGCAATCTGCCGATGGATTATTCAATCCTATTGTACATTCCTTTTGTCAATGCACTGCTGGATGAGGGTCTCCCCACGTCGGCTAGTCGTGGGGGGTTATATGACCGTACTTTAGCAGCCTGGCCAGTGCAGGGTTGGTGAAGGCAAGGAGCATCGATGCTGGAGCAAAGTATGACAATATAAGGTCTCCCCGCAGCGGTATTAGAATTGGTGTTTGATGCGAGGTGGTCACCCATGCAAGTGCTATACACAGGCTCCAGCCTGCTTGGCTTTCAAGATCTGATGAAATTGGATGCATTCTGGGTGATTTGGTTACAGGCATATTCCACCGATTACTTCGGGTTGTTTTTTTGTTCCAGGGGCAAGATGAGTGGAGTGGAAAATCCACTTTTTTCCCACAGATAATAATCAGAATCGGAGTAGAGCGGTTGGAGAGTGGTTAGTACATTATGTGAATAACCCGGCGACCTAAGTTCAATTCCTGAACATGGCTAAGATCACTAATGCTATCTTAAACCAGTCCTGGGATCTCCCTTTACCTACCCGCACGAACCAGTGTGGCCATACAACCCCTAAGATTGACAGCTTTGTCAATCAAATACAAGATAAAGTCTGTCACATGCAGTGTTGGCCGTGAAGGATTTGTTTTTGCTTTACCATACTTCACCACGCTAGTCAGGACAGGTTGACGAATTAGGGGGGGGGGGAGCTGGTTCAGATATCACTCGGCAACAACGGCGTTAGCGATGACCAGCAACTCAACTCAGGTTGCTGGGTTCATGATAAAATGGGATATAACCACGACAACATGACATTACCTAAATACATCCATGTTGTCCAACCCATCTTACCAGAGCAGAGAAATAAGGTAAATACCTACCAAATATGGTAAATACCTACCAAATATGGAATATCTCTACATACAGTGGCATGGACACCATACCAATGGCGCTCACGCCATTATTTCCACGATAAAGTGCCTTTCCATGATAAAGTTTTCCCGTCAGGTTGTACGAGCACGCATTTTATCTTCGCAGTGAATTTTAAATGAAAACTGCAGGTTTGGATCAAATTCATAACAGCCAATGTGTTTTGGTCCAAAACCCTTCACGGGATTCCAGTGACCAGGCAAGGCTGCTCTGGTTTGCGAGGTGCCACCAGGCCTGTTAAATCGCCGAGGCGTACGTCACCACCAAGGTGGCGCCGCACATTTTACTGGATCTCTTTAAACGAGCGCACTCACGGTCTCCGTGGCGGCGGGCAACGTTTACGAGGGTGTGTGAAAAATAAAATAAAATTCCGCGACCGTGAAGATGCTGCCAAAAATATAATTTCATAAGTACGCGCCAGAAGATATAAAATGTTATGAATGTCTGTAGAATTTTGTAGCATGCAGTATTTACTGCACAGCATGTCACCGCCTCGGTGGTCGGTATAGACAACTTTGCATGTTGCAAGTCTGATGCAAGCACCATACAGTAATGAGAATAAATAACTTCCCTTTATATGGTACGGCACGAAGTTCGATACACTTGGCAAACTACCAGTGATTAGGCAGATCAGTCCAGGTAATAGACTTCAAACAACTGCACTGAAAAAGTTTTCAGGGAAAAAAAACTCCTAAAAATATGCCAAGACTCAAACCTATTAGTACTAAACAGTACTTTGTTTTACCAGATAATTTATAGTAACCATCAACACGATTTCAAACTTGGCCTCGCATAATAAGGTTGCTATCACTTTTAGCACGTCTTGATTTGGTTATTTTAATAATGCGCGCAAAAATATTTTGATATAAATTATTCAGGAGGAAAACATGCATTCGGAGAGCATCCGTATATGTTATTTGCAGCACAGTTTGCCGATGTAGTGAAGCAGCATACACAATCACGCAAATTCCGGTCATCCCCGCAGCGGCTGGCGGGCTATCTAACAGACGGTCACCGCATCGCACACTTTCAGATGCGCTTTCTGCGGCCATCTGATATGTTCATCCTTCAGATATTAAGACGCCACAGGACCTTTTTCATTTTTAAATCTAAACTCGCCTTTTGCCCGTCCAAGGACGGGTGTATTGCAGTAAATCTGAAACTTGCAAGCAAAAAGCAGACCGCACGCAACGTGACGTTGCATCAATTTGTGTGCAGTCTGTAATGCCGCGGTGACACAGACTTATTTCATTTTAAGGTTATAATCCCTTATTCATCATGACGTCCTTTTTACTTCTATGTCTCAACAGCGTTATGGAGATCACGTGACGTGAGGGTTCTGCCTTTGTCGTGAGGGTTGTAAGTTGACGCTGAGGAGGGGGGAGAAGGCGCCTCGCCCCCCCCCCATGTGGAGTGACGTCACCTGCTCATGATTATTAATGGAGGGGGTGTCCATTTAGAGGACGTCACCTCTTCATGATTATTAATGTGGGGGGCTGTTCGATGTGGAGTGACGTCACCCACTCATGATTATTAATGAGGGGGGGGGGGTGCCCCATGTAGAGTGACGTCACCCGCTCATGATTATTAATGAGGGGGGGGGGGTTCATGTGGAAGACGTCACCTGTTCATGTGTATTAATGAGGGGGGCTGGCCGACGTTGAGTGACGTCACGCGTGGGACACAGACATTCTTTGGTAAATATAGTAGCAAATTTAAAACGTATTTTTGTCCTTCCAACGCACCTCCGATTAGTGCAGTTGGGCCCGTATGGTGTGTAAGAAGTTCAACATACATACATAGCAACAGACGAAACGGAAAAAGATAGAGAGAGTGGGACCACATTGCTCACGCGTACCGTACCACAGTACTGTACCGTATAAAGTCCTTCCATTTGACATCTTCAAAAGTCAGCCTTCGAGACAGCAGGATGAGGGAAGAATGGAGGTGAGAAGCACAAGCAGGAAGACATGAAGATGCAAAGCATTATGCTGCTGCCACCTATCTAATCATGGCAAAATAAAATCAGTTCCAAAAAATTCATATTCAATCAAATGCACCAGGTGACAAATCACGAGGATGTACAAGGCCATCCATGAATATATCGTCTATTATTAAAACAATAAGTCAGTGAGACGCCAGTTTGGACTGCAAACGTTGACAACATATTTATAATATATTCAAAATTAAATGTATGCCAACAAACCCAAGAGAAATCTGAAACAATCCCACGTGAGGTGTGAGCAAGTATCAGGGACTCTTGAATCAATACGGCGTGTGTGTGTGATGGCAATGCCAACGATGGGGAAAGGTAGTGCCAGTGGTTAGCGTGCTGCGCTATGAACCCGGCGACCCGGGTTCAATTCCCACTCACGGCCAACACCAGTGACGATTATTTAGTACTGGTCCTGGGCCTCCCCTAGGTCGACTCAGCCTCAAATATATACCTGGTGCGGTGTGTAAGCATCGCTACTGTGGAGACAAAGGTGGCCGGGCATGGCTCTGGCCACCCACTCCCTCGTGTGCCATGCCAGCATTCATAGGTGCTCACTAACAGCACTTGCCTCAACAGTCTGTTAAATATACTGGTAGGAACCCACTGGTTCCACCAGCCCACAGGGGATTATTGTGTCCGTCCATCGTGCAGGTAGGGGAGGGGTGGGGGGAGGGGAGGGGTGGGAGGGAGGTGGGAGGGCTGGTGGGAGGGTGGGGAGGGCTGGTGGGAGGGTGGGGAGGGGCTGGGTGGGGAGGGGAGGGGAGGGTGGGGCTGGGTGGGAGGGGTGGGGAGGGGCTGGTCACTCCGTGGTGCCCTTATAAAACTCAATGTTTACCCTACTCACGCCGGATTGTGCCCGCCCTCAGTCGGCCATATTTGCAGAATACACCACGCCGCCGTTGACCCTGGCCATTGACCGAGCAACCCAACGTTCCTACCAGCTCATTCCGCAGGAATGTGTTATATGGGGGATCTTTGTGTCTTTGCCAACACCATGGCAGACATGTCGCGGTTTATAAGAGCTAAACTCATACGATACAAATTTCATACTGCTAAGTGTGTGCGTTAAGTTCTATCGACCTAACTCAATTTGATGGCTATTTATAAATGTTGAATAAGTAATGATTTTATGGGCGCGCTGGATGGGTTATTTATCTGTAGGACAGACATTAAGGACTAGATCTGGAAAGTGACCCATTGTTACTATACACTTGCATAATTTTAACCATAGGTAATTGATCATATATCATGCCAAGGCACCAGCATAAGGTGATCAATTCTTCACGCAATAACCTCGCTGTGTCTTTAAAGATCCACTTTATAAGCAAACAGTGTGACTTGGTAATGCCCAGTGGAATTTCACGATTGCGTGGTTTTCAAACGAACACAGAAACGTGCAATGTGTGCATAAGAAGCTCTCGGCCACATACAGAAAAACCACCAGTTTAGAAAAAAACTGTCCTGTGGTGACAATTTGTCTGAGACCACCATCGCATGAATCATGAAAATGTGATCAACCGAAAAGCAGCAGTGAAACATAGAAACAAATGAAGACCAGTTTCATCCTCATTAGTACTCGTTAGTGAAGGACAGTAATCAATAATGCTGAGAGCGCTCTTTATACACAGTGCATGTGTTTCTGTGTTGTTGAAACTGCGCTAAGTTCTATGTTGTGATGGGTGTTTTCATCATTTACAGATATGAATGATCGTGGTGGAATTGAAGTCTGTGCAAACTGACAGTGGTGAGTGCTCAAACCACCAAACTATCCAGTCTGGCTGGCTAACTCCAAGATCCAGATAACCACAACCTGGATAGCAAGGCTTTCTTTGTGCATTAAACATTGTGCGTAGTGCAAAGGTCGACTGAGATGAACACATTTTTTTCTTGGTTGTCTGGAATCCAATTTACAACCGTCTAGAAATAGGCAGGTAGAACGAAGGGGGAAAATATGAAAATAAGCCAAAAAAAATTGACAGACCTGTAACGGGAATTCAGCTTGCACACCAGGATTATCAGCGGTAAACTTATGGAAGGGCTTTGGACTATATTTTAAAGTAAGCACAGCACAGAAAATCCCTCAATTTAGTATCTGTGCACTAAATCAGAGGAGCACCTGCACCAACACAGCGCTCAGCTGGGATATCCACAGGCTCTGGCTCACAAGGAACAGTGAGCCCGTGCACTGAACATCTGATACCACATCCTGCAGCAGCCTTGATTTTTATCAGATCGGTCACCCATCTAAGCAATGGCCGCCAACACCTAATCTAGCTCAGCTCCTGAGATCTAATAAGATCAGGCCCCAAGGCAAGTATCAGTTTACCCAAGTGAGAACTCCAACATGGTTTATTCCTCTTGAAATGAATACCGAGTCGTGCTTCTGAACGGCCACTCGCTGGAGAAAATGGATATAAAATGTGGCGCTAACCGTTCCCCTGCCACAAACACGAATCTAATAAAAAAAACCCGACTATAACGGGTTTGAAAAATGGCTCCTAAATTTAACAAATCTGTGAGGGAAAAAAAACCACAGTGGTAATATTAAGGGCTTTAAGAGTCAGTCAGGTATAGAAGACCCAGTGATAGTTTTTGAATAGAAAAAACAAGGCACGTGAGACCAACCAATAGGAAATGTGGTGGTCACGTTTATAAACCATATTAGTAATGTTTATCACGCCACAGTGTGTCGTAACAGTAATTCAATAGTTTGACTGGAAGGCAACTTCTTCTGCAGATGCATTTAAAAACAATCTGTGGTACACGGTGCAATAAAAAAAGCCAATATTACTTTTTGGAGAAAAAAACGGCCACGTTGCTCTTTTCTTTCTATTTCTTGGAAGAGCAAAGTTTGCACTGCTAAATATTCATGATTGAGTTTACCATCCTCTGTATGCATTACACAACACTTATCAGTTTCATTGCTTCATTATAGGCATTAGGCACACACAGAAGCATCCAATGATTTTACTTTGACAACTTATTAACTGATAACCACCGGAATGGAAATAAACATCAATTACACCCCTTTGTCAATACTCCACTAAATGAAGACCCGCCAATGTTGTATTGCTCATTAGGGTTATTTAGCCAAATGTCACCATGTCTGATTGGTGCAGGGGGTGGGTTGCCCTGGACCGGGTCACATATCACTTGCCACTAATCCGAGCTATGTCCGGAAATCACACCCATGTTTGTTGGGTTAACGGTGATGTGCGCTCACCATTGCTCCACTATTTCCGTGGTGGAGAGATGTTAACTCCCTCGCCTGGTATACAGGAGGTCGTGGGTTCGATCCCGAGCCTGTATATTTGGAGTTTGCATGCCTCTCCCCGTGGTCGCGTGCATTTTTTTTCCAGGTCCTCCGGTTTATCCCTCCACATTTAGAAACATGCGATTAGAGTATTTGGCTTCTATAGATTTCCACATGATAAGCCACTTCGTTGAGCTATCATTTGTGGCCAGGTCGCTTCCGAAAAGGAGCTATATAGCTCAGTGTGCCTTTCCTGGTAATATAAATAATAGATCATAGTTTATGTTTGCTCCTCACAGTGACATATATACTGTGCTCTATACAGTAAAACAATAATTATACAAGCAGTGAAATACATGCAGCATATGTATGCCTCTGTCTGTGTATCTCTGTGTGTTCCTATTTACATATCTTTCGAGATTTGAAGTTTTCGTGACTGCAAGGATTCATACTCTTTGCTTTTTTCGGTAAAGTCACATAGGTAAAAATTTTTAATAAATGAACTCACGGCTGTACCAATTTTACTGGAGCAGTTACACCTGATGACGGAGGCTTGTGTTGCTTCTGAAACGTCATGAGTTAATTTATTTACATTTTTTACCTACGTGACTTTACCGAAAAAACCAAAGAGTATATTTCCATATCTGTTTGTCTGTATGTGTGTGTAATGTGTGAGTGTGTGGTATTAACTGTGTTGGTATTGTGTGTGTGTGTGTTATACTGCAATGAGTACACAAGTAGGTCATGTGTAGTATGTTTAACACGTAGGCTTTCGCAAACAATATTATCCATTAAGTCTTAAAGATTAGATCGCGTAAATGTGCCGAAATACCCGCTACCATATGGCACAGCCAATTAGGAAGGTTTGTCACGTAAACAAAATGTGCCAATTCGTTACTAGTACAGCACACCGGTGTGTTGGAGAGTAAACCCACAACATTTACAATTCGAGTTCAACGTTTCGAAACATTTATATTTACACAATCGAACCCAGAAAAAAACTATTATGAATGTGTAGTATATGCATCACATGTATGCTTCAGGTCATTTCCACCAATGGTACAAACAGGTGTAGTAAAACACACAGGTAAACTCAAACACCCTTTGCAGCAAGTGGTTCTCACAGTTTTTAGCAGCTTTTGGAACAGATATTTCAGACACATTTGCATGCACACAACATACATTCGGAATGGCAATAAAAACGAACCTTCGTTCACAGTTGAGAGGTAAGGCATGTCACATTAACTAACAAACATGTAATCAAGTGTCTCTCCGCTGGTAGTGTTCCCCGGGGGGTTCTAAGGGCCGCTATTGGCTACACGTGGGCGCACACAAATGCATGCCTACACAGCATGCTAGCTTGTTGCGTGTGAGCACAAATACACACACCCACACAAAGGTCCGCAGTCGAGCTTTAGAGAGTAGGCTGTAGGGAAAGGGTTGTCCAGCAACAATACATGGCTGCCTTCAGCTACCCAGTGCTGATCATTTACACACCAAACCAGGCACTCGCTTAAGGCTGAGTTGACCTAGAAGTCCAGAACAAGATCTGATACAATGATGTTTGCTATATTGCTACGAACCAAGACTGTCAGATATTTATACAATTATGTTGGCCGTGAGTGGGAATCGAATTCGGGTGGCCGAGCTTGTAGCACGGCATGCTATCCACTGCAGTAATGCTCCCCACACTGGACATGCGCACACACAAACGCGCACGCGCACAAGACAAAGTTCCCCCATGTAGCCTTAACAGACTGTAGGGGAAGGTGCTATTAGCGAGTAGCACCTATTAAGGCCAGCACGGCACACAATGGGGTGGGTGAACTTAGGGGAGGCCCAGGACCGGATCAGAAAATCGTCACCGGTGTTGGCCGTGAGCAGGAATCTAACTTGGGTCACCAGGTTCATAGCGCAGCGCGCTAACCGCGACACTACCGCTCCCCAGACACACGCACGCACACACACACGCGCTCCTCATACACACCTGATGCTGCTCATGCTGGCTGTCTCCGACTCCTGCAGTTTGCATCTCTCCAGCTGGCTTGCCACGATGAGTCGCTCCGCCTCCAACTCACGGGTTAGCCGCTCAAACTGCAGCTCCTGTGGCGACAAAGACAAAGGTAAGGTTCCCAATGTAGCCTACACAGACTGTTGGGGCAAGTGCTGTTAGCGAGCACCTTGTTCAGGCCGGTACAGTGCAAGAGGGAGTAGTTGGGCCAGCACCACACCAGGCCGCCTTTGTCTCACCAGAGCTGATGTTTACACACATTGCACTCATTTACGAGTTGACCTAGGGGAGGATCAGGACCGGTTCAAATACGAGTCACTTATGTTGACCAAGAGTAGGAAACAGCGATATAGTACGCAGACACACGCACACACACACCATCAAAACAGTGCCCTCATGCTCAAATTCGCATTGGGAAAGTTCCCATCCTACTCGCCGGTCTTGACCTAACGGTGGAAATTCCACATTACAGTGGCAGGAATAAATCTCTCTAAATAACAATCCATGAATCCTTCCCACCTGACGAGACTGTCGCATCAGGTGGTGCTCATTTGATCAGACCCAAGTGGGATGATGATGTCCTGGGGGCTTGGATATAACCCATGGCAACATCTCCAATGCCAGCAATACGAGAGACACTGAAAGAGGATTGCGGGGGAAAACAAATCTGATGGAAATGAGTGAACGAACCCTTATGGCGGGACCCCGGGGTCCCATAAGCCCCCGGCTCTCGCATAAACTGCGTTGTGACGTTATTTTGTCTGTTGAAGGCGAACGACGAGCTCGACACGATGAGCTAATTGAAGTTTAAAAGTTTTAGTTTCTTCTACACATTCGTCCTCGCCGCTGCGCTTGGACGACGCGACATCAGAATGATCCCCGCGCCAGGTGAGTCGCAGCGTTTATGCGCGCGGTGGGACGGAGTCGCCAAAAATAAATTAATCAATTACGATTTTGACTTCCGTTTATTCGGGACCCCGGGGTCCCACCATAAGGTTCAAATGTCAAGAAAGGAATATTGGCCCATGATCCTTACTTTTGGGAAAAGGTTAAACCAACTCTGGAACATTATGTCAGTTTAATAAGGTGTAAATCAAATGTTTTTTTCTTCATTATTGACAATAGAGTCCAGTTTCAATAATGTATACCAAGATAACAGAGGGTAACACGGTGTTATCAGGTGCTTAAACGGGCCTACTTGACGGCAACCAGCGCAATCTATCACAGTGCATGTTTTCAAACAGTTAGGAAACCAGGCGGAGCTAATGAAGTTGTAATTCGTAACGAGTGCCGTCAACAATCACCATCTCATGGAGTGGCAGCACCTGGCATAGGTAATGAGTGAAGAAAATATAAAGTTTGCACGCAGCTGCTTCTGGGAGCCGCTGGCAAATCCCAGCGGCTGCACGCGCCTTCACTGAACACATGGTCGACAGCTTCGGAATGCCAAGTCCTCTACCCCCATAAGACACGCTTCTTATTGACCTTTTGCACCGAATGCCACGTGGGTGCCAACTGCGACGTGGAAACGACACAGCAGTTTAAGTACGCGATATACGTAAATGACCATGCCACGCGCAAATGTTGTTCAAGGTTGATATGATGATTATTATTAATTATGTTGTTTACCACGAGGGTTGAGAATGCTAGTTGTGCTTTTGTATAGGATATATGGCGGGCGAGTGATGGCGCAGCAGTTTGCACACTGTGTGTTGTTGATATGGCGACACGAGTTCGATTCCGGCCACGTTTTAACGTCAGTGGCGAGTGACATCTGAACTGTGTCCTGGGTTGCCCTGTCGACAACCTGCACCGACTAGAGTGGTACGTACGTGCGCATGTTGGACTTCTTTCGCACCATACGTAGCCAACCGCGCTAATTGGAGGTGCGGGATGTATTAATCGAAGGTGTGGTGAAGTTACGTCAAGCATCTCCCATGATGGAATGTGGAGGCCTTCATCCAGCAATGCACTGACAAATGGCTGTACATTGGTTACTTAATTTCCGGTGCATGTGTATCACAAGAACCATCGTCGTCTTTTAGAAGTTTTTTTATTTTCTCTACAAAACCAATTCTTCAAACCTTGGCGCACACATGACAATCCATATGCAACACACGCAGCCTTCTTAAACGAAAATATCCCTGCAGCACTTGATGAAAACGTTACAGTCAAGACTGGAAAAATCTCGACCCAGAATGGCATGCGAAAAACCAATCAACCACTGGAGCGGAGCTGCTCCCTTATCCCCCAACGACACACACGTGAACACAAATACAATTGCACACAACAAAGACAAAGATGCCCCCCCCCCCCCCGCGTATAGCCTGTAAAAGACTGTAGGGGCAAGTACCACCCCCTCGTGTGTGCCGCTACAGCACACACACGAGGGGGTGGGTGGCCAGCACCACGCCCGGCCAGCACCACGCCCGGCCGCATTTGTCTCCCCAGTGAGATGACATGCAAATACGCGAGTTTTGCATGTAGACGCGAGTTACTCAAATGTATATTAATTCCCTATTCGCGACCAGACGGACTTGAGTATTCGCGAGTGTAGGTAGTGCCAGACCACCGATGCCGGGCAGGTGTGTGCTGAATGTTGTCACATTTGAAACTGCCTGCCAAGATTAGGAATGCCCCCTCGGCTTTTGTCCTCAAATCTCAGAGTAATCACGCTCTGAACTCGCCATTGTGCATTTTTGACTTTACACGTACTTACAGTCGACTCGTTAAAACATTTTGGTACAAACGAGTCGACTCCGAGGTCCATAACAAAATGAACGCGAATGCAATCGGGGAAAGTGTTGCGGCTAACGCTCCCCAGAGACCTAAAATGATAACAACTGCGCGGGCGTTGTGATCAAACACCGGCAATCTCCCGAAGAGTCATCCTCCTGAATTCCTCACCACCACCACCTCCACCACCACCATCACCACCTCCACCACCACCTCCACCATCACCACCACCACCTCCACCATCACCACCATCACCATCACCACCACCATCGTCGTTAAACCATCATCAAAAGGTAATAATAATAATAATAAAAACATTGTTCTTTATATATTTTTTACTGTAGTCATTGTTACCAAACATTTACCATCCCCCCCCCCCATGTCCACTTGTAACAGAAACGTAACCCCATTTTTCACATTGTAACAATGTTTCTGCATTCGCGAATTTTGTATTCGCGAATGTGTTTTTTTTAAAGAACGCAACCCTCGTGGATAGAGAGGGTTCCCTGTATTGTGAACCTCTTTCGCACCCTACGTAGCCTGGCACAAGATACTCATTTTTGATGCCGAGTCGATCTAGGGGAGGGCCAGGACTGGTTCAGATAATTGTCACTGGGTGTTGGTGGCTGCGAGCGGGGATCGAACTCGGGTCGCCAGGTTCGTAGCGCAGCGCGCTAACCGCTACACTACCGCTCCCCACAACAAAGACAAAGATCCCCCGTATAACCTTAACAGAATGTTGGGGCAAGTGGCCACAACACATACATGCGAACATACACGGCACACAGTAGCTGTGATGACTTGCTATTCTTTCCAGTGGTGGGTGGGTGGGGGGGATATATGAACCGCAGTATCTGATAAATGAAAGTGCAAAGATTAATGAAGTTGACTTAAGCATTTTTAAACATGTTGTGTGTTTAAACGAGAATTCGTGGTGCCGATTAAAAAAAAATAACGTGTGTACCCAACTAAACCAACATGTGGCTTTATCGAACGTCGGGCGTGCTTTTTGGGGATGAAGCTAAACGCGTCATTCTGCTGCTACCAGTGACTGCTGTAAAAGGGCGCCCTCTGTTCAAAACGAACGAAACGCAAACGTCCACTGCACAAAAGAGCACGACAAAACAGAGATATATATGTAAGTGCTGTTGCCGAATGCGTTCATGTAGCCGTGCATGCATGTTATGGCAAGCACATTCAGACACACTTAGTCGAGCACATAGCCATACGTGCATAAACCGCACAGGCGTGCGCACACACGCACACACAAAAGACTGCATTCAAATGGCCTTTTTGTAAGTCAACGCACGCACACACAAGACAAGACAAACGGCCCAAACTTGGTCATAGGCAATTGCACCGCAAACACAGCCACGCGCGAACTCCGCTCTCCCCGTTCAACCAACGCGTACACAATTCACATATCCGCGGATCCTACGTTGTATCCGGCTGCTTGGCTCATGTCCCGGGGAGAGAGAGGGAGACTGCAACTTCCAGGAGCCGCTACAACTGCTTTAGGGCCGAAGAAGCGCTCGGAAGAACTCGGGACGCGAGGAAGCGACTGGATGAGCGACATGCGCGCACAGAGCACCCAACCGCTCGACTCGACACCCCACTAACAAAACCCAACCCCCTCTACTCCTTCACCGACGAGGCTTGACAGCTGCCCACGGACAAAAGCAAGGGAGTGCATGTGGGGGAAGGGAACGGCTGCGGCAAGATGCTGTCTTGGGGCTGATGATGATGATCATCATCATCATGCACAATTCTCAAATGCATAAAGACTTCCCCTCCCATCATCCACAGCTCTGTACAGCTGCAATCCATCTCCTCCCCGTACGTGCTAATGATTGTGTTGCGCTGCATCTGCTTCAGTGGTCCCATCACTGGTGTTCTTCTTTCTGGCTGCCACTCAATCACCCGTTTTGTCCATGGGACATAATTTATACCATGATATCTTGCCCAAAATGACATGATAATAACGTCATGTATTTGCTACCACGATGCATTTAAAAGCGCTTAAAAAATGATGGAGGCAATACATTTGCGACAAATGTGTAAGATTATCATTACATTATTGTATTAAAATGCAATATGCATACCTTCAAATGTCAGAATACTTATTCATTATAATTAATTACGAAAAAACGTGTATTTAAAATGAGCTGATTAATACCTCTCAAGGCTTGTGATATACTGTAATGGCATTGTGATAACGAATGTCAAAGTACATATGAATCACTTTTCCACCGTTCAACATCCCCCCAACCTAAGTTTTATTCCTAACCAAGGCTCTCATTAGAGGCAATTTGAAAAACTGTATCGAGATATTGAGGCTTTAAATTAAATGGTTTAC